TGTGCTACTACCAACAATACGATTAAATATCTATTAAAGAGAACAGACAGACCAAAATGCAGCATCATACCACAGACAAACAGACGTAACTCTTTGAAAAAGTTTTTCTTGAAAACATAGTATCTTAAAACATATGACCTCAGTAACGACATCTCTCGGGCTTCTCGCGGAAAACAAGCTTGCTCGCTAGCTCGCAAACAATATTGCATAAAAGTTCTATAGAATGTATAGAAACGTCAAAGTGATCCGATGCCAGCGCTGCGGCGAGTAGTTCGCGGAACTGGTAATATTCAAATCAACCGTTAAATCCATGAACGAAGATACACAATGAAGAGTTACGTCTGTTTGTCTGTGATCATACGGTCTACATTCTCTAATGATGTGGTCAGCTGTTAGCCAAGTGTTGCAGTGTCTGCATTTTGGTCTGTCTGTTCTCTTTAATAGATAACTATCTGATATCCATGTTTTTCCTTGTCTTACTCTAGTAAGTACTCTTTGTTCTGAGACTTTTTTCCTGTCATTGTATGGTAGTGTTGTTGGTTTGGTTTGTCTTAGAAATGATTTATTTGTGTTTAACCATTCCTCTTCATTTGTCCGTATTGTTTGTTGCTTGTACCATTTTATCGCATCTTGTGCAGGTACTTTCATAAAGTTCCCTCCCGCTTGTCCAGATAGTCGCCTCGTACGACAGGGAAGGACGGCCCGTGGATCTATTCTTATTCTACCCGGAGTCCACACGGGGAACAAAAACAACAGTGACCAAACGGGCACCATAGCCTAGGAACATCTGTGTGTTGATTTAAAATAGAGGCTCATAGAAGCAAAATTTATCAATAAAAGGGGTCCAGTGTAGAGTTTAAGCAAGTGCTGCCACTGTGATCACCACAAAAAAAAAACTTCACCCTCAAACAACACCATGATGGCGTCATGCTCGTTTGGTTACACTAACTGACAGTTCGTTTGGCTACATTATACCACAGACAAACAGACATAACACATTGAATACTTTTCAATTTAAAACATCGTTGCTAAAACACTACCGCCATCTGTTGAGCATACTGTGATGGGTAGTACGCTGAACAGATGGCGGTAGTGTGTAAACGTCAAACGCAAGGGTTATTGACTATGCGCGCCACAGGTGGCGGTATTACCATAGAGGTAACTCTAAGACCACTGGGTCCCGAAGAAAATCATTATTATTTTTGGCTCACTCAGTACCAGAACAACGGTCCCAAGCAGTCCCAAGCTATTTCACTCACCCCTGCATGTTCTGCATGAATCCACACACCCCTGATGTTATCTGTCAAACTTTCATAGCGAATCAAAACAAACATAGTGTAGTAATAGAATTTCAACTAGAATAGGGTACGTTAATCGTTTGCTTGGGACCAATAGGCTACTAAAGTGGTGAGCCAATTTAAAATCGTTAGTTTCGTATTGATTGTTGGTATTACCAACTAAAAACATTTAAATTGACCGTTAAATGCGTGTTCGATGAACAAATTGCCAGTGTTATGTCTGTTTGTCTGTGATTATACCATAGAGGTAACTCTAAGACCACTGGGTCCCGAAGAAAATCATTTTTATTTTTGGCTCACTCAGTACCAGAACAACGGTCCCAAGCAGTCCCAAGTTATTTCACTCACCCCTGCATGTTCTGCATGAATCCACACACCCCTGATGTTATCTGTCAAACTTTCATAGCGAATCAAAACAAACATAGTGTAGTAATAGAATTTCAACTAGAATAGGGTACGTTAATCGTTTGCTTGGGACCAATAGGCTACTAAAGTGGTGAGCCAATTTAAAATCGTTAGTTTCGTATTGATTGTTGATTATACTTTGCCTCTGCTTATCTATGGAATTTATAGTGTCTATAGTTGGTACACTACTTCAAAACGCATTAATTACTTTGAGTACTTTTGATTGCATTTTAACTTCTTTGTATTGCGTGCCCCTCGATCCCTGCTAAACTTTAACTAAAATGGTTATGGAACTTTACATGAACGTTTATGTGATAAAGTTTTCTTTATCACGTTATTTTCATCACGAGTAACCTTATGTATTATAACGGCGCCGGTGGTGTAGTGGTAAGCGTGATTACCTCTCACCCCAGAAGGCCTGGGTTCAATCCCAGTCGGCGCCGCCGGGATGTTCTGAGGCATAACATCTTTGATCACGCCTTCCTTCGGATGGGAAGTAAAGCCGTTGGTCCCCGGTTCATGAGTTGATGGGTCGATAGGTAGGGTCCAGGTGTGGGAGCTGCCTTCCTGGCACGTCGGTAGTATTGGTGCTCAGCACGGAAAACAAGATCGACGAAAAAAACAAACCAAAGGAAAAAAAAAAAAAAACCTTATGTATTATGGTTTTTTGAAAGTTTTTTTTTTTTTTTTTTCCTTTATTTTAGAGATTTTTAGCCTGAGGCTACCCGAAAAAAAATAACAACAAAAATACATTAAAAAACAATGTAACAATAAGACGAAAATTATTGTCTTAACAATGATTTATATTGTTACGTCTACAATAAATTTACCTTGATTTATGTTGTACAAAACAATAAATTTCATGGTAAATGGAAAATTTACAATAAAAAAGGGGGGTTGTTAAGTATCTTAACAATGAAATTTTCGTGATTTTCCCATACAATTTTTTTTCAATAACATTATATATTATTGTTATTTTACTGTTGGTTGGCGAATTTATTGATTAAAAAAATAACAGTGTACTTTAGAGTGTATGTGTTGGTTTGACAGATCTACTTTATCGACTTTAAAAATAAATCGAAATAATAAAACATTGCCCCGGGAAGGGAAGGGGGTGGTATGTCTGTTACGGGTGGTCCTTTTTTTACTGGTTATGGATCGAGATTCGATCCGGAACTTGTGAGAAATGCAGGCCAACTCCCCTGCGCTCGATATCCCTAGGTCACGTCTCCTTGGTGGTTGAGCGTCGTTGATAAGTTAATGCATTCGACTGGAGAGAATCGCCCATGAAATATGCTTCCACATGAGAGTTCCTTCTTGACATCTTCAAGTGGTGGAATTTTTTATTATTATTGTATGATTATTGACTGCACGGAAAAGGTATCCATTAAGCTTTAGAGAGGGTCTAGGATAAGATATGAGCGGACGCAGACTGCCTGGTTTTGAGCCAAACGAACTGTCAAAGCCAGAGCCATACGAGCAGCGCCTATCTTAATAGAGCATTTTATGAGAAGTTTCTGGTTCAACTCATGAATGAACTGCAGGAGGCGGTTACCTAACGGCTGCACGGAACCAAATTTTGTTCATTTAAGTTAAAAATATATATGTTTATTAAATAAAAATATGAATAGTTCAAAGTAAATTACAAACATGTTCTCAACAAAAATATGTATGTTTAGAATAAATTCAAAAGCATGTTTATTTCAACAATACATAACCTGGGTAATCAATTTTTAGCGTGTCCTTTTTTCCTTCTTGTTTACATTCGGCAAACTTAACCGAAAACGGCCTGCAAGCGGCGAAACCGAAGTAGAGGGTCCGGAAACCCACGCAATGTTCCAAGCTCGACAAAACCGGTGGAACATCACAATATTAACGGCAATCCGTCGTTTCTGATACCGATCCCCATATCATCCTCACCCCCCACCCGACGTCGAAAGAAAAACAGATCATCCCCGAACACTAAACGTAGAAAGAGGCCGGTATGAGGACCAGCGTCATAAACGACAAAATGACGCTAATATCACAAAGTTTCACCAGTTTTACTGAACTGGATCGGATCGGACACCCACCCCGACGGCCCCCCGGATCCAAACATCCACAGACTTTCCATAATCGCAGGAATTTCCATTAATTTGCTATCCATTTTATTTTGATTTATTCAGCATTCAAATGCTAAAATAATTTCAAAATATGTTTGTTTATTTTAAACATGAAAAGCATGTTTAAAATAAACATATTAATTTTTGATTGCATATAGTTTTCAAATAAATCAAAAATATTCACGTTTATTTTCAACACGAATATTTTTAAAATAAACGTAACATTATTTTTGTTTTAAACATTATTATCAATGGATTCAAACGTAGAATACGTTTGAAATCAACCTAGTTTATGTTTGTGGCCAGAACAAACTGAATTTACGTTTAAATTTACCTCAAATATTTTTGTTTCGACGGTAATTTTTTCTGCGTGTGTGAGAAGCAATATCAATATCATCAAATTCTGGCATGCAAACCAGCTAATGTCATTTCATAAAATGGACTATTACATTGGCAGTGTTGCTGACAATCAGTTTTATTTTTATTGTTCGTGAAGAGTTGTTCATTAATGTTCATGATCGAATCATGTTAACAATAAAATAAATGAAAAATACGATAAAAATCATTGTAACAACATTTTATTATGTACATTCATTGTACAGCTAGGTAGCAGTTTTGCCGTTTTCGGAAGAGTACAACATTATAACAATCATTTTTATTGTCGACAATAAATATTAATGTTAGAGCATTGTTTCCACTGAAAATTTCACTGTAATTTTTTTTTCGGGTAGTTCATCTCTTAAAGTTTTTTGAAAGTGAACTTTACAAATAATGGGTTGTTAAGAACCATTACCATACTAGTTACCATACAAATTTATTGTTTTCTTCAGCCCAGTGGCCTGTCGCGTAGGCGAGCGCGTAGGCAACATGGTATACAGTGACAGCGGGCCCAGCACAGCAAAATAAATGATTTGAGCCCGGGACATGCTTCCTACTGTCAAACGCTGCTGTTGGTATAGGCCTTGTCACTGGCCTGGTTTTTTTTTTCATCGTCGAATATACTCATTGATTAGTAAACTCGGTTTTACTTATTTAATGAGTTGTCACTTTTCTTCAAAATGGGTAGTTTTATACTCATTAATGGGTACTTTCAAGTTTGCGTGTGCTTTAGTAGATCCTACTCAAATTTGGGTAGTTCTGAAATAGCGTGAGCATTCATTCAAACATCTGTCATTCATGAACTTTTCATTTTCATCATCATCATTTTTCGTACAGTCTGTGTCACAAATTGTGAAAGGTGCAAAAATTTACGTCTGTTCGTTTTGTGTAGTTTTTTCGTATGAAATCTGTGTTTTCAGTGCCAAAAAGCACTGCTTATCCGTAGACCCGCGTCAGGTGAGTATTTTGCGCTAATGTTCCTTCCGGTACATCGGGCTTCAAGGTGTTTTTATTGGTGTGAAAATTATAGAGCACGATCCCGTTCCTGTCTTGTTCTACCTGCCAGTATCGAAAACGAAAGGCTTCGAAAGCAAATCAAAATACAACATGGCTGACCGAAGATCTGGCGGATCGAGTCGTAACAATTTCAACGATGAAAAAAGTCCTGCCGATATCCCGCCTATGTCGCGGTTGTTCATCATCTGCAGTAAAACCGTCACGGAGGACATTCTGCGTGAGCAGTTTTCCAAATTCGGTGAAATTGAGGAGATTTGGATCGTCAAGGACAGGCAATCCGGTGACGCCAAGGGGGTGGCATATATAAAATTTTCCAAAACATCGGAAGCAGCCAGGGCACTAGAGGATATGAACGGAAAAACGATCGGAGATAATTCACGACCAATTAAGGTGAGAGGATTTTTGTTTGTTTCTTTTATGGCCAGAAGAATAATTGTAAAATTCTTTGGATTTAGGTTTTGGTGGCAGCCAATCGACAGCAGGGCTCCCGGAAGCAAACCGATAACGAGGAAGAAAAATACCTTCGATTGTTTGTTTTGATTCCGAAGGAGATGACCGAGGAATCGCTTCGGGACGAGTTCGGTCAGCATGGTACGATCGACAACATTACCATCATCCGGGACAAGGTGACCAAGGAAGGCAAGGGATTTGCGTATGTGAAGTTCAGTCGCTTTACGCATGCAGCGCGAGCTTTTGAGGAATGTGATGCCAAATACAAGGCAGTATTTGCCGAACCGAAGCCATCCAGAAATGCATCCGTGTCCTCCAGTGATAACTTTGTAAGATTTGAAAGTGGTAGTGCTCCGAATGGATTCATGGACGACCGTCGGGGTGGTAGTTCGGGAATGGGAAATTCGGGTCCGATGATGGGATTCGGAGCAATGGGTGGAAACGATCGTCGGGGACCCGGTATGAATAACGACCGGGGAGCGAATTTCGGTTTCACCAGCAGTGGATACTCGGGACAGACTGCGAATCCCAGCGAAACGTCACTCACAGTGCTGTGCAGTCCTTCTTTGAATCAGGATCAGCTTTGGAGACTTTTTGATATTATTCCGGGATTGGATTACTGTCAAATCAATAACGACTTTAGTATGTATCTTACGGTACTAGTTTTTAAAAAATTGAATGATTATATTTCTCGGGTCTTTCTTGTCAGATAATCGCAACGTTACGGCTACGGTAGTGTACAACAATGCCCAGTCTGCGATGTACGCTCGCGACAAAATCCACGGCTTAGAATATCCACCCGGAGAACGTCTCATAATACGTCTTGGTCATGAAACGGTCAGCATGATGGCCAACAATGATCCTTTTAACGGAGGCGGTAAGCTCAAATTAACATTATAATTTCAATTTCACCAATGCTGTTGATAGGCGCAAAAATTTCAGATCGAGACGCCTCGTTCTGCAGCGTGCCCCTGCCGCAGCCATTGCCGATGGCCAACCCGAACGCAGAAGTTGCCCAGCGGTGCTTCATCGTGTGCATTCCGAAGGCCCTGCCGACCAGTGTTCTTAAGCAGACGTTCTGTCGATTTGGGGATTTGATCGATGTTTACCTGTTGCCAAACAAAAACTGCGGCTATGCAAAGTTTGCTAGCGAGAAGAGTGCCAAGAAGGCGATGGAAACCTTGCATGGGGCTGAGATTCTGAATGTTCGGCTGAAGGTAAAGTTTCGATCTTACTAAAATCGTTCGGAAATTTCTAACCATTTCACCCGCGCAGGTTCTGGAAGCCGAAGAGCCAAATAATGATCGGAGAAAGCGCATGCGACATGAAGAACGCATGGAGAATGAGTAAACAAGGATACTACGAGGTTTAGCAGTATTCTGGAAATAACATAAATCATCATCAACCGGGGAAATCTACAAGAAGGATAAGGTAAATTTCGCAGCCCGTGGGCTGAATGTTGATGCCGTAGATATTTGCCGTTTCGTCCCTCTACTCTAGGTTTGGTTCATGTGGAATGTGGCGCCGAACTGAGGTACTGGGGTCTCCTAGCATCGAGAAAATGACTTTAAGACGTTGCTTAAGGTATAGCGTTGTTAGCGAAATTGCAAAGCAATTAGTGCACATGCAGTGTTGTATGCGCATAACGCGATGGCATGACGATGTCTGTTGGTTAGGAAACAACAGGGGAACATCGATTAAGTACGTCACGCATTAAGAAGGAAGGGAGAGAGCTTAGCGTTTGCGACGAGCAATGTAAATAGTTGAGGAAAAACGTGACAAAAGATGGAAGGAGGTGGAGTTTTTTCTCCTAATTTTGTATTACGTCCAAAAACGAAAGTATCTTGCATTTTGCCTTGCTGGTTTCATGTTCGAGTTGTGCGATCGGGCGAGCAGTGGGTGGACTGAATATTAGGGATTATTCAAAAACAAATGGACCTTTCATGGGAAAATGAAATCATTATAACAACATTTTTTTAAAATAATTTGTTTATTATTCCAGGCTCATTTGTTGTAGCTTTAGGGAGCCGATATTTATTGTTTAGATAACAACATTACTTAAAACTAACGTTAGTAAAGCAGGGGCCGATTACTCGCGGCAATCTCGAGGTCAGGGGTAACAAATGGATGGCATGGCAGGGATTGAGAACACAAGGTTTGGAGACCAATGTGCTCTTGATCTCGAACTAAGCGACATACTGATGAAAAAGACAAACATGGGGGTACACCGATGGACAGCTAACAACTTGGGAGAACTCAAGATGACACTAACTACTATATCCTCAGATCTATCTGTTTTGAAAACACATAAATTAAATTCAAATAGTCGAAATCGCGGCTAGCCAAGACATCTCTAACGGGTAGCGCGGGTTGTTTTCCTCGGGCCCTGAGGGATGTGGATAACTCAGATCTGACAGATTATAACAACATAACATTTCTCAAATTTCAGTTAAAGTAGAAACACTTGTTAAATGCAATATTGTTTATTAAATTTCGTAAAAGATATTTAATTGGTCTCGAATTGCAATGCAGTATCTATTATTTTTTGGAATAATACTCACTGAATGTAGATTCAATGATCATACAAGTGAAGTTCAGAAGCTTTTAGAGGAACTTGAAAAGTAAGCAAAAAATAAAACAAATATTTCTTGAAGTAAATTTATAACTTTCTGCGGACTATGTAAAGGACGTGGAAGGACCCCGAATATCAGTTCCCTGAATGGCTTTATCCCGAACGAGATTCTGCCTTCTTTTGATTGCTGCTCGTTCTTTTCACATTCGGAGTGATTGCGTTCGGGGTATGTAGAATAATCATGTTAAAAAAAATCATAAAATACATGGATGCATAAAGGATGAAGATCAGAGAAACTTTCTGAAGGCTGATGACTTCAAGGGAAAGGTTTTTGGGCTTTGATGAGGATGAAAAGTTCCATTTCTTCAAGTAGGATTTTTTTATGTATAATTCAGACAACTGAGTTTTAAACGACTTCGTATGCAGTTTAGGAGATTTCCGGAGCAATTTTGAGAGATCTTTTATAAGTTCAATGGATTTGCTTTTTATGCGGCTAAAATTTATTTTCCGTGGTTTTTGATCTGCAATGTACTAAGTGGATAATTGCATAAAACTTATTGTGCGATTTCAGTTAGCTTTCGTATAGTTCAACTACACAGCGACTTATGAGGTGAGTTCAGCCTATATGGGCTGAGTCTAGAGATGGGTTAGAAGTAATTTGATCAGCCTTGTACTCAAATTCTAGTATTTCCAGGTAAAATTAGCATTCACGTATACAGGGTGGCAAGTGAACCAGGAAAATCGGGAAAAAGTCGGGAATTTATTTTCACAAGGAAAAACCGGGAAAAACCAGGAATTTCATAAGTCCACCAGGAAAATAATCTTGTTTGTATAATTTAAATAGGTTTTAAATTTTATGTATGTCAAAGTTTCTTTTTTTAATCAGGTCAAAACTAACCATTTTGTTCAAGCTAAATCTTTCACACAACTAAACAATGATGAACAAAATTTACCCTAAGAATTTAGTAAATATATTTTCTATTTATTTTTAATTTAATTTTTTTTTAGGATCAATTGCATGTATGATTTGTGCTTAATTGATAGCAGACTTAAGCAGTGTCAACGCGTTACTACTTTGAAGTACCTGTTCAACATGTTCCATAAAAAAGTTCTATTTCTAAAAACTTCAGATAAAGCATTCGAACTTCATGCAAGTTTTACAAAATTCGGGAAAGTCTTACAAGTTTCAGGAAAATCCTGTGAACTACTGTGATGACCTACGCGGTCAGGAAATCTCTCCGAACCTTCAGAGAAGTTCTACAAATTTCAGAGAAGTTTTACGAACTTCAGGAAAGTCCTTAAATCTTTGGGGAATAACTACGAATTTTACAGAATTTTCTACAGATTTAATGTAACTTCTACGACATTTAGTCATTGCTTAAAACTTAAGGATAATCCTATGACACTTATGGATTGTTGCCGAGCTTCAGAGAAGTCTTCAATACTCTTGGGAAGTCCTCTGAACTTAACATAGTTCTCCAAGCTCAAAAAAGTTCCTAGATCTTCCGAGAAGTCGATTGAACTACAGGTAGTCCTACGAAATTCATGGGAGCTCTCCAAACTTCAGGGAATTTCCAAGAAATTAAGGAAAGACCCACAAACTTTTGAAAAAAAACCCTTCGATATTTAAAGCCTTATGAACTTCAGGGAAGCTCTTCTAAATTTAGGGTCCTCATATATTCAGTTAAGTCCTTCAAACTTCAGGGAAGTCCTCAGATCTTCGAGAAAGTTCTTCGAACTTGAAGGAAGTCTTACGAACTTCTGAGAATTTCTACGAACTTCGTGGTACTTCTACGATATTTAAGAAATTCCTATGAATTTCAAAAAACTCCGAACTTCAGGGAAGTCCAAAGATCTTTAAAAAAGTCCTTCGAACTTCGGGGAAGTCCCATGAAATTCAGGCAATACAAACTTCAATGAACCCTTCAGGAAAGACCTTAACGCTTCAGGGAAGTTCTACGAACATTAGAGAGTTTGTATGAACTTCAGCAGTCAGTCTTTTTAATAATAAGAGTTATTAAAGCAGCATTGTTTATGAAATCTTTTAATCATATGATTTTGAAATCATGTTGTAATCAAAATTCCGCTAAATAAGATCCTTAATCGTTGACAATTTGCGGAAAATTTAAACAAACTGGAAATCCGTAAAATTGTTAGAAGCAAAGGTTTGTTTAAAGAGTCTTCATTCATACCACACTTAGCAATTTCACCTTGAGATAAACTAGCCCGTTGGCTAAAAATCTCAATATTAGAGTTAAAAAAATCGCAAGTTCAAAAACAGAAATCTCAAGATTAAGGAGCTTATAGATCTCTAAATTTCAGACATTAGATAGGGCTCCGCGGTGGTCCGTCGTATCTCAGCTTTTCTTCGTCATACACCCCTAAAATCGCTCATTTTACGGGTTATCGCAAATGTTTCAGTGTCAACCGTAATTAATCTTGTAAGCAAAGATGTTTTTGCAAAAACAATAGTGAAAACGCTTTGCTATTATAGTTTTAGCACATAGAACGGAAATAGGCGCCATGATACGACGAAGTAGCGCGGCTCCCTACTAGCTTCTTTACAGTAAACAATCAGATAAAGATTTCACGGGCATTCATAAGAACCTTAATACCTATTTTGGTTTGTGAAATTCCGCATTGCGCGAAGAATGATGGTACAAGGATTCACCTTTTTTTTTTTATTAAAAATTGTTTTATAAATACCTGGTTTTTAAAACCAGGAAATTTTTAAATCATTGACCAGGAAAACCAGGAAAAAACCATGAATTTCTAAATGGAAATTCACTTATCACCCTGCATATAGCAATGACCAAATTGCACACATTCGTAGGATGCACGAGTCCTAGATAATGGGTACGAGTGAGTGATGTAGATATTCAGCCGTTACCTCATAGGCAGCAATTGGAGATTAATCTCTTCGATTGAAGTGCCCTAACCTCCAATAGTTGTCCAGGACAGGTCCTCGCAACTGGTGAGGATATGTAGATGTAATGGTAATCTGTAAGGAACCGTTTTTGGGATATTGGCCAACTTTATGTGGAATATTTCGCGTATTGTTAACCATTAAATAATGATCGCATAATCGTAAAACTTTATGGGAAATGATGAATAATTATGTTGCCGTTCTACGCATATCTGTCCCATGTTACTTTTGGACGTTTTTCACTTTTGTTCATGCAATTTGTTCTGGGCTTTTATAAAAACAACATCAATTCTTATTGTTCCATGTTGAAATTCTACGTATAACTGTCCCACAAAGATTGTCTTTACTGGAATCGATTTGAGTACACGAATGATTGAAACAGGATTTATATGATCAAAAGAAACGGTATGAGCCATTTCGGGAAGTAGAAGTTTTATTTTATGTTGAAAAATATTGAGATAAACGGGAATTCATATTTACTCTGCGTGTTTATGAAGGACCGGAACAACCGTAAATGTGGTAGTGCCAATTTTAAGTATGTCTCTGATCTTTCGGGGGATCATTCTATAACGTATTTGTATTTGAACGTAAATTTTCTTAAGAATCGCAGGAAAAAACTGATGTTGTTAGATTTTGATATCTTTCTGCAATAATTAAAAAAAATCAAAATGTGCCAGAACACACAAAATATTTTCGCGGTGGTACGTTTCGCGTTAAGGAAGAAAATATTGAATCCCCAACTTGCCATATTCATGTCACAACTTGAAATTCATTCTTACAACACATCAAAAAATGCTTTTGCAAAAAACCGCGAAGCTCTAAGACCAATTTCATGAATTGACCACTTTTACGGTTGTTCCCAAGGGGTAATTCGTACAGCACATTGGGCCGAAATTAGATTCGACACAGCTTGGGCACATCCATCGGCACACC